GGGCGACTGTCGCGAAAGAAGAAACAGCAAGGGAGACAAGGAAGAAAAGAGTAGAGGCAGATCGCATTTTGGTGATGTAGATGGGTTATTGGATTGTGTAGATAGAATGGTAGAGATATGGGTTAGTTCTCTTCTAATTTATAGCCATTAAAATATACCCACGAAGCTGTCTTCCAGACCGAATGCGTGAGAGGTAGTTGGGAACACAGCTTCTGCTTTCAGATGGCTTGAACGCTTCCTAACACTGTAAAGACCTCCTGATAGTAAACCAGCATTGGAGGAAGGAAGAAGCATAGTCAGGCGAGCACCTCGCTACTCACGGTGACGGCGCCGACTTCCTTCTCGTATGAGATTTTTCGAGCAAAGGCGCTTCGGAATTAGCCGTGATACGATCACAATAAGTTCCAACGAACTTTACTCAATAAAGTTTCTACTGGTCATCTCACTTTTTACAATCGAATCAATGCTTGCCCCGTGAACCTCAAAATTTCTTTGAAAACACGAAGAAAAAAAGTCCCACTGATATTTTCCGGCAGACGATTCCAAGTTCCGAGTAAGCCGAAGCGTACTTCCCGCAAAGGAAAGTGGAGCGAGAATTAGATTCTTCGTATGTGTGAGAACAAAGACATGATGAGATCGGAGATAGTACACCAGGCAGGGGCGAGCACCTTATGTTGTGGGACAGGCGAGCTATACTTAAGCACTAATTCTTTTTCCATTATCATCTGGTTACCTACCCCGGGAGCGTCTCGTAACCGAAGTTATCACATTCATGGGCCCGTGACTTGGTGCTTCCGGCCTCCCCGAAGATAACCGATATTCAGGTGACTAGTCGTCTTCTTGTGAGAATACCCGTCCTTGGGTAGCCTTCTTCCTTCCATTTATGTGGGAGACGCTTAGTTCAATTCCAGCGCTTCATGATAATCAGGTGGATCCTTTTCTCGGTTGTTGAAATTCATTTATACTACGCGCAACTAGACAGCACCCGTACAAGGAAGGAGATGGTAAGTTCTCACATATTACAATATCTTAGAGGGTAAATAATTAGTCAGTTAATCACTTTCACCAAATTACTCCACATCGTAGCCTTGATCATGAGGCCAACATGGGAGTGAGAAGCTGTCATTTTTGGAAGTTCGACCCGTGGGGTCGGAATAGAGTATGTCCACTATAGACGAGTGGACTATTGATTTTATCCCTCGAAGTAATGAATTATTCCGCAGATATATGAAGAGACAGAACTAATTTCTAGATGCACCATCTAGGGCGGATGTCGAGCCAAATTTGGGTTGAACTAAACATTCACTCTGCACTCTACAAACCGTTTATTTCGCTGCTGCATTTTGACCTCAGATGCCGTTCGACCAGAGGTAATGAATAGAGGTGGGGATCTTGCATCGTTGATGCCTTGTGACATTACGGGCATAAGGTTCATTTACAGTAATAACGGGAATGGGAGGTAGGTACAGGTGTTCCTGCCTCACAAGATAGCTAAGTTAAATTGCAATATATTTTTTAGGGAGAAGTTTCAGTGAAACAGAGTTCGACGGGGCGTCGGATCAATACTTTTAATTCGTAATTACTCGGGCATGCTCTCAAATATCCAGTACTCATTCTAGGGAAGTCAGCCATATTTCATCAGCATGTAAGTTGGAAAGCCACCACATGGAACTTTGAAACCATCGCTAGGCATGTCAGTGCTAGTGATGGGGTTGATCAAGTCCATCATGTGTGGTTTACTCTTCTTAGATCCAGATGTTTGTGTGATTTTAAGTCAGGAAACACCACGAAATCCCGTGCCTTTAGAATACGTTCATGTACCATGTCGAGTAATGAGTGGATACCTTGACTATGGGTTGAGAACGCAACATTATCTATTTTTGGCTATGGTGGAAAATAACCGAATCGGAAAAGAAGAACAACCTGCCACTCGGGAATGTACATGCCCCAGTGTGCCATCACGCGGTTCATCGAGGTCAGCTATATTTACATTTTCCATCATAAACGTTGATCCCATGACTTATCCAGAAGTAGCTCCCCGTGGGGGATCGTCCATGACAGTGAAACTCGCATGATACATTGGTCGAGTGGAGAAAGATATGCGCGACAGGTCGGACACAGGTAATTGCCCGGAGGATTAGAAACTTGTGGTGATTGTTTGGCCAGCCAACATGATCACGTTCCATAGCACCAATATAGTCATAGTGACGATACCAGATGGCGATATTAAAGCTTCCAGGATAATGAGAGGCTTTTGTTCCGCCGATATATAGTAGCTCAGAAAACGATCTGGGATGGATATAAGGGAAATTCGAGCAAGAGTTAGAGCCCTAGAGTGTTAGGAGGTATATCTATTGGGTGGTTTCTATTTTTGTTTGTGCGCCTGTCGTTTCTCCAGTTTAGGGGGGGTAGGGGTTGTTGGGGTTAAACACCACCGTGACAGAGATTTCAACAGCAGATTCTGATATTGTCCCACTAATTTCAATAATTGCACGTTGTATCATGAAATAGTCGAATGGTAGAAAGTGGAAGTAGATGAAGGCGCGGCTTATACCATGTGGTCACGATGACTGGCCGATTACTTGCTTGACGGGGACAATAGCGTCACTGATATATATTGTCTACTGTGTGTGGTACACAGTGGTTAACGTTAAAAGTAACTAAAATTAAATGGATTTACCGGAGGCAATAGGAAGAAGTCTTTCTACCCAAGTCAGCTGTGGAACATTGGTGGATGTGCACATATGTAACGTCCGTACCCTTGTTATTAAATGCGCCGGATGCATATAAGCTCTGATATGCAGACCCATCCGTGAGTCTTCCAAAAATGAACGTATTTGGAGGTGGGGTATTGAGCAATTCGTGATAATCTTCCAAAGCTCAACTGCCAACTGGCCACCTTTTCGAAATTTACTCCTTTTCAGGGACGGATCACGATCTAATCAGATGGGTCCTGAGTAAATTATTATTGATAAAATTTAACTCTCTTTAGATCCTGGTCTCATCGTCTCCTCCCTTTGTTCCGCAATACCCATCCTTTTGGAATGTCCTGGAAATCTTAGCTTATAGAATTAACTGACGAGTCGGATCGACTTATATTCGGTTGCACCGGTATGAACTTCATCGGTATGAGGTGGTGACGGGGCCATGGTGTGTGCAAAAAGGAACGAATATTTATGCCAATAAATTTTGGTTCGTTACTAGAGGGAGAGATTTCTAGGTTCTACACTGGATTTCATTAAAAGTATTTCTGGGCGATTTAACAGGTGTTTCCATATTCTCTCAATGAAGATATTTAGATTGAGTACTGATGGAGGTAAGTGGACAAACCCTCGATCTTTAGCTTGTGATTTATCCAAGGGTAATGATCCTACTCAAGGGTCAAAAATAGTCATCATGATCATAATAACAACAATGAGGAAAATTTGAATGATACATCTTGAAAGAACCTTAAAAAATGATTCCCAGTACATAACCTATGTATCCCTAACGCATACAAAGTGAAGAGGATGTGTGTCAATCAAACATCAGCGTATATAGCCCTCGCAGCGTTACAAGCGGCCAGAATCCTATCCCTGAGCGCAGTCGCCTCGTCACTCTGCATCAGACCTGTCAGCAAATAATATGATAAAATTAATCATGATTGACGTACGGGGCAGAGATTGAGTAAGGCGTTCGCGAATGCTTCTGTTGCAGTGCAGAGGTTGTTCAGATCCTGTTTAACAAGCGCGGGGAGTCCTCCGATGGGGAGTGCTTGGAATGCAGCTTTACGATTTCCAATTTGAATAAGGGTGTCATCGATGATTGGTTCTAGAGCCTCAAGAGAGGCGAGGAAGGTCGCACAGTCTTCGTCTGAAATGGGACGAGGAGTAGTCTATAACAAATTAGCCCTGGAAATGATTTGAAAAGAGAAATTGTCGACGTACGTTTACATCCGTTATCCCCTGATTGAGCTCTGTTCCCAAATTGACCGCATTGTTATGGATAGCCTGTTATTGGAATCCTCATCAGATCCGGTAGCTGTGTGTGTAATGACTTCAAACATACAAGGGCTTGAGCCAATGTTCCTCCAGTGGTAGGGAAAGCAAGGATTGATGTATGAAGTGTATTGAGTGAAGTTCCAATCGACGCAATGTCATCCTCGATTTCAGGGACACCGGCGAGGCAAGAGGTAGCAAGAGTTGCAAGGAAGAAGAGTGCAGAGGTGAACCGCATATTGATAACGCGAATGAGTTGATAGGTTGTTGGGGTGGAGATCCTATCGACTTTCATTTCTTTTCATCTACTTTATACCTTTCTCCGTACTTACCACATGACGCTTGAATGATGTAGTAAGAGTGAACGTCTGCTCCTTTCAGGCCAAGGGAGGTCGCATGATAGCTGATAAATGTCAAATAAAGAAACACAGGTCAGCCGGACGTTTCACGATATCGATGAAGTCTATATCATTACAATAATCACGACGATGGGCGTCCTTTCATAACTCTTGATGCTAGATTCCAACGATCAGCACTCCCCATAAAGGAGAAGTTTCCCGTGCATTGCAGAATTGTACGGATTTCCTCCTCTTATATCCGCAGGAGCCGCTGTGTCTCCGCAAAGTTATCATAGTTCTGCATATACAGGTTGAAGAAAGTTTGTATCAAAATGAACCAAACGTCGATGAAGGTATTTCGGAGATGGCCGTGATGAGATCAACAAGTTCCACACGACTGCATGGTCCGTGCAGCGCCAGTCCCGAGTCGGATTGGGTAAATCGACCATCTAGACGGCTAAACTTTGAAGCTTGGCTGGAGATAATTACTCTACGTTATGTCCTAGTTTGGCTCCCTTGTGATAATATATGTTTTGATCGGGAATGTGAATAACGTTTTAACCGCCCACTTGCCGCCTAGCTTGTCACAAGAGCAATACTATTTCACGGGACACAGATCGAATCCAATGGCATTTTAATGTGAGTCAGTACTCTTCAAGGACGCACGAAATTCAATATTTATACATCCTTGTTAGTATATCGGTTCAGTACACGCGCCTGTCATTGATCGATGCACTTCGCGCGAGAGCTGGGTTCGACTCCCAGACAGGGAGATATTTTTTTGTAGTTAAACTGGAACTTTTTTTATTAAGTCTTGCACAGTACCCATGAGCGACTATACATCAGCATTCCCATATCTTTACCTGTTTTGTTTTGTGCATGTTATTGGCATTCCACTGATCCATTTTTATATCGTTATGACAAAACCGTCGCTGCTGTGCACAACACACTACGTTCGAGTAGGACTTCGGCTTCGTCGGTCAAGGAACCGGGTTGAACAGTTGTTCAAGGATGAGGCGGTGGTGGGAAGCCCAATATAGAGATTTGTCTGAAAAGACCTAATTAAGGGCAAAATATTATTTTAAACGGACATCACTGCGCTTATTCTCCCAAAGGGAGCTCCAGCGCGAATTACTTCCCGGGTACCTTTTGTGGAATGGCCAATCTTCTTCGAAAGGATCCGGAACCGTGATCCATTCCAGTTCTCCGACTAGCCCATCATCTTCCAACAATTTCCGAAAACGAACATCCTCTGTTGACATTTGTATAGGTTTGAACTTATCCCACGTTTCGTCCTCCACATGCTGAAACCGGCGAGTCAAGAGACAGATCAATTTTTCTGGAACATCAGGGGTGTCCTGATAGGGTTGAGCAAGTTGCGCTTGCGGAGTATACATGTTATGTGGACGGACCTTGGGCCAACCAATTGGTTGAAATGAGTCCACGATAATTGGGGTCAATCTCTTGGTTGTCTTGCTTCAAAAAATTCCTGGAGAGCAATAGCAGTCATCCCGCAAATTGGCGCTCTGTACTTCGGAGCAACCATCTCAACTTCGGGGTGACTTGCCACCCACGCTTCAGCTGCTTCGGGAGTTATAACCCATCCAGCAATTTTCAACATTGGAATTAATGAGAGTGGGAGCTGGTGGTTGTTTGGGAAGGGTTGACCCCTATTGAAGACTTTGAGGAAAATGGGCGGCCTGAGACAAACTGAATCTGGCCATCACGTGATGTAGACTACTTGATATAAATTGATTTGTGGGTGTAAAAAGATGTGAAATGGGCCGTGAATGAACCTCGGCCCGAAGTTCCCAGATTCAGACGCAACATTGATCGATCTCAAAGGAGTTGCGACTCTATACCTCGTGTCTGAGTTTT